TCGTCAGAAGGAAAGTTGATAAAATAAATTACAAATGTTGTATTGTTCGATACATATGCGTACCGAACCGAAAGCACTGTATCGAACGGTTCAATATCGATACGAATATCGTTGCACCCCTAGTAAAAATGTATAATTTAATTAAAAACTAAAGTGCATGAAAAACAAACACTGTCATGGCTGTGCTTAGGTTTTCACTTCCTCTGCATTTTGACTTAGATTTAGAGTAATATTGTTGTTCATCTGGGCTTGTATGTAATATTTTTATTATGTCATGGAAACCCATGTTTAACAGAATCACGGCAGACCCGATGACATTACAATGCTTTCCAGCATATTTTATTTACACTTATCACACAGTTGCTGTATACACAACTCAGTCGTCTGCAGCTCACAGCCCAACAGGACAGGACCCAGTACAGATTTTAAAGCCGGCGGGGCATGATTGCAGACCACACCCCGCCACACCACGTAAACCTTGAATCTAACAGGTATACCTTCTTTTGACTATGACTGAGTGGCTGTTGCAGAATAACATATGCTGCTATTAAGATGATGACTTTTCCAGAGAACGCTGTTCTTATTTCAGCATTCAAAAATTAAAAGGGGGTTAGGGGGACTACCCAGCTCCTAAACCTCTTAAAAGAAGAAATAATGCAAGACATGATTATAAAATGATCATTTTAAAAAATGAAGAGAACATTTAAAATAAATAAAATAAAAATAAAATATTTTAAATAATAAAAAAATGTAAAATAATAAAATAAAAACATCAAATCTTTCCACATTTGAGGCTTGATTGTGTATTTAATACAGTTTGTACAGCATGTTTTGGAAAATTTTAAATGAAATTTAAATTTCTTGGCTGGAAATAGTTTTTTCCAGATTGTTTTTTCTTCATTCGTATATAAAAGCACACAGATGAGTCGCCTACATGTCTTTGTACCAGCAGTGAAAGCATTAAGTCACATTTCAACATGGTGCGAGGAGAGGTGCTCAATGCAGAGAGCTCTTTGCTCCCACCTTCTCTGACACATGAGGGCTCAGTCAGGAGAGTGAGAGTAATGTTGCTTCCCAGGAACCAGAGAATGAATCGGTCACTGACTGGGCTATAAAGCTTTTCTTCTGCCAGCAGTGTGATGGCACGTATACAACAACGCTTCATGCCAGCAGTTGACACAAAGCTCCTGCTTGGTCAGGAAAAACACAAATTGCCCAGTGTTGTTCTGCAGCTCAGAAATCTGTGTTTCCTGCTGTAAAGACCGAGTCTTTACAAAGTGATTCTTTAAGTAGGACCATTTCTGCACGGTTTGAGGTTTGGACACTGACTGCTTCTCTCCATCCAACGGTAGGAGAGCAACATTAAGGCCGGCAGGAGCACCGTGAAGTCCAAATCCTTGTCTGATTTGTAACCTGCTGGGACGTTTGATTTACAAGGGTGATCAGAGGAAAGAAATCCTCCAGCAGCCAGCATGAGGATGAAAGTGTACTAAGGAAGTGTAATCATGTAGCCGATTGCTCTGGAGAAGAAGGTCAAAGCACATGCTTGTTGTCATTAAAACCTTCTTTATGTGTTCTGTGAAGTTCCTCGGGTATAAGAACAGTATTGTCAGTCTCTATGGACTTCTTGTGATTTAGAAAGCTGGTTTTAATTGTGATTATAATTACATTTTAACTGATTTTATATTGAACCTCATAGGCTATGTTATACTGATAAATGGATAATTCGATGCTGCACATTTCTAATTAAAGCGCACAGATAATGTGGGGTTTCTAGTGGTATAATTGCAGCAAAATTCAGGAATATAAATATATAAATGTAGTGCATACATTTAGAGCTTGGGGGCCAGAAGGGTATACTTATTAATTAACTGCAAAAATTCTGCCTCATTATTATTTCTCATTACTGGTTAATTGCTTCATTGTTTCAGCACTAATTCTAACATGTTGCAGAGAAAATCTCTGTCTCGATAATCTTCTCAGATGTCTAAATCTCCTTGTCCTTTTTCAGGCTTTTTAAAATACAATTACAGCACACAAGCATTTAATTCTTACAGCAATCTAAAGTCATTCCACTGCCAAATGCCAACAATACACACTATGGAGAAGACTAAGATGGCACAAAAGCTCACGCTCTGTCATACAAAAAATACGGCACTGTAAATTCAATGAAGTCATCTTTTCATATTAATCTAAATCTGTTTTTATTCATATAAAAGATCACAGGATTCAGACCCTTTAAAACACATGAATATGAACCACCTACTAGTCTTTAGAGTCAAAATAATGACTGTTGAAATAAATGTGAAGATTTCTTACACCTCATTAAATGAACAGTACTCCTAGTGTCCATTTTTTCTATTAAAACTTTTCTGAGACATCCTTCCTTTATAGTCTGAAGAAAATATTTAGAGTCTTGGCTTACAGTGAGGATTTTATACGTATAAACCGTACTAAAAAAAAGGAAAAGAAACATGTAAGGAGGTAACTGTCCTTTTACAATAAATGCATTCATTCAGTGTCTGCTGCCTGTGATACATGCTCTTTGTGTCAGTCAAACAATTAACAGCTCTGACTTATTTAGTAGAAAGAAACATCTTTTTTTAATTTACTGAAATTCACTTATTCAGCTGATTCATGTTGTCAGAAGTCAAATAACAATACTGGACTAATGAGTCGATCAAGCTTTCATTCGTTCAGAAGACCTTGAATCCTTACTTGACTTAGTGTATGTGATCTATCAGAGATATGTGTAGTTACAACACTTTTCTTGCACGTTCAAAATGCTCCTTCTAGTTTCTGCTTTGGCTTTATTTGTGTCTTTCTACATCATCTTGGTGAAATAGGTTATAAAAGCACTTCTATTATAAGAATACACTGACTGGCTTTTCTCTTCTGTCTTTTAGTAACCGACTGTCGAGTCTTAGAGGGGTTGCAGAGATATTCCTCTATCCCCACGTACCTGCCTGTCAACTATCAGCTCCTCAATGCTGACTTGGGATTTTTCCTGAAGGAGGCCAACCAGGACTTCATGAGGAACTCTACCCTGGTGTCGCGGACCGAGCCCTTCTTCATCTACCAGGCCAGAAGTTTGCCCTCTGTGAACGCCAGCTATGGGCCCCTCTCTGTGGAGCAGCCTGTCCCCTTAGAGCTCCTGCAGAGTCCGGGGACCTTTCCTGCCTCTTCTCTTTTTACCTTTAACTGGAAGGTGCAGACCTTTATCATGAATTCCCGAATTCACTTGACCAAGCCCAAAGTCCAGGTGTTGTTCTATGTTGCAGGCAGGGACTGGGATGACTACAGTGCCATCGACAAGCTGCCCTGTGTGCACATGTTTGCTTTCCATGAAACCCAGGAGGTACGTGGTACTTGCCAGCTGAGGGGGGAGCTGGGACTGTGTGTGGCTGAGCTGGAGCCACTGGCCAGCTGGTTCAGCCCACCTAGCGTCGTGCCAGGACGCCAGAGGAATCACGAAGTGTCCGAGGGCACCCCAGTGGAGCTCTACTACGTGCTGCAGTCCACAGACGCAGGGTGCCACTCAGATGAATCCAGAAAGGACAATTTCATCCGCACAAGTCAGGAAGGGCTGTTTGGTTCCTATACTTCAACACCTTTGAGGAGGATTGGCGGTGTGAGGCTCTACCAGAACCCCACTGAGCCACCTCTTGCTGAACACAGGCTGGATAATAACTTTATGGTCTTGGTGCCAGCCACACCCATGAGGCAGAGGGAAACTGGCTCTGCTTTTATCACCATGTCAGCCTACTCTCCTGTGGAGATGTTTACTCTCAGGTAAGAACATATTTCTTTCTGTTGTTCAATAAAATGTCTTACTGAAGAGTTTTTCTGTCAGTCTCACATAGTGAGGTTCTGCAGCCAGTGTCTCTTGACTCCCGTGTTATTCTTTCAGTATATTCTGTCTTAAAAATCTGGACATTATTCTTAAAAAACATTAATAAGGCCTGGTGTCACCTCACTGAAACACTGGGACAGCTGGAACATAGCACAATCGGTTTTCCTTTCTCCTCGCTCCCTGCTCGTTCCATCTGTTCTTCTCGCCCTCCACAGTCACCCGTGTTGGGTTTCACTTCAATATAGCTGTTCTCCATTTTCTGTAATTTTCTTAAGTCAAAAATAAAATAATGATTGATTTCAGCTTATCAACGCCACCTGTTAACCGAGGTAAGCAGTAATTGCTCTGCTTCTGTACTCAACTGATCAAATTATTATTGATTGCGAAGTCAGCTGGCAACATTAATGTAGCACACAGCCTAACGACGACGACTTCATTTTGTGATTGGCTGCACTGGGATACAGAATAAATGACTGGAAAGAGTTTGAGGAGAGTCGTCCTCTTTCATGACGGTATTTATACAAGAAAAGGTGCCATGTAGCTAACAGCTCCTTGACATTTGTGGTCAAATTAATTCATTGATCGTTTTTTGTGGCCATGTGAGAAATGTAATGTGATTTAACCTTTTTGTGGGTGAAACCTTTCACCAATAGAACCAAAGGAGTTTGTGGTTCAGGCCAAGAAACAAGCTATACCAGGCTTTACAGTTACAGTTTTTTGTTGTTGTTGTTGTTGTTCTTTTACAGTGACTAGAAGAATTCATGCTTACATTGTTACTCACAATTAATGTCATCATTACACATTGTTCATTATTTTTCCTTAAAAGAAACCATTACATTGATTAATTCAATCCCAGAGCAGCTCACTACACTACTCGTTGTATTTTGCATTGCTCTGTAAAATGACCTGAAATGCAGTCACATAATTGTAACAGTATAAACCTGAGGCTACAGTCCCAAATGCCGACACATAATCCTATCCTAATGAGGGCATACATACAGTCTTTTTTATGTTTATGCATGAACACAAAAAACAACGTACAGTAAAGATGAAATCAGGACCAAAGAGACTTTAAGGTCATCGCACAATGATTGCACTGCAGTGCTGCAAGTCAGACTGCTCATCATAGCTTTTGTTAGCTGCTGAAGATCAGGATCTGGGTGCTGGGTTGGGGTCAGCTTTAGCATCACTCTGGGTTGTTGGCTAGCTTTGTGTTAGCATATTGTCTAACGCAAGTTAGCAGTATATAGTTGTTTCTGTCTTGGATTCAGGACTTTATCGTCATGCTCTTGTGCTTTCGTGCATTAAAAATAAAAGTAATGACCTAGTAAAAATAATACAAGAATTGAAATCAGCTAAAGATGTAAAGTGATTACAATAAGACATTTTGTTGGAACGCATCACTTTCAACATTGTTATCACCATATCCATAAAAAACTTTTTAAGAATGATTTCAGTCAAACATGAGCCTCGTTTGTGTTTTGTCTCATTTTAGGCAAATCAGTTTAAAACTATACAAAAGTAATAAAAAGTTGAAAAGGTTCCTCTAAGGTTCCTCCACTTCCTCTAAGGATCAGTTTAGTATTTGCGACATTATCTTCAGCATTAATGTGTTTGTCTGATGAATATTGTCAGGATCAGTATATTGTCTTGTCCATAATTTTTGTTGCCTTTTCTTTTTCTTTTGAAGGATTAAACAGTAAAATATCATCTGTAAACCTCAGAAATAATATAATATTAACAGAAGTAGATTTACAGAATTCTCAGTTCCTTTGTTAAAAAGTTGTTTTAACTCACCGACATGCTGTTTATTAAAAATGTTTACATTTAATTTTGTCGAGAGCTCACAGACTAAAATGTTAGAAGGGTTGTTGATTGCACATTACTGTTAATATGAGGCATAAGGTTCATTTGTGCTAGTATTTTTGCAATGTTAGTCATTACAAACTTTTTTGCCCATGAAACATGGCTGATTTTTTGGCAGTGCCAGCTTTCACAAAAAAGTATATTTTTAGTTACCATGTACTTTAGGACAGAATGAGGTGGATAATTTATGACGATATTGCTTCACGAAGAACAGATCTGGATGCTGGTCTTTTAGGTGCTTTGCTGAATTTAATCCCTTGGTCTGAAAATCACGACATAATCGCTTAAATATCACCTCATTTTATCAATTATCATCCCTTGGTCACCCACATCATCCCTCCATGCCTGACTCTACCTTTCTTACCCACGTCAAGGACAGAGCTACTGCGAGAGTTGCATTTGTGGCCATAAGACTAGAAAACTTGTAGGTGTATGCTGCCTCCACCTGTTCAGAAGAGCTGTAACCTTCACTGCCTACAGTATTAAAAAACACAAGTGCCATTGTGTTTTCAGAATTTCTATTGAAAAAAGTTAAAGGAAGGTAAATACCAGTTCTGGTGGCATCCCAATTCACCGTGGTGTCATCAAAATTTCTTCAAGAAAGCAAAAAAAAGTTTATTTCCTAAAATGTTTTCCACATTTGTTGTGAGTCTGTGTGAGTAAACTGACATGTTGCTACAACACAATACCAGACTTGTTATATACAGTGCCCTTCCAGAGCAGACTGAAATTTTAGCTTTGGGAAGCTTTGAGATCAAAACGAGACAATGAGCCCCTCTCTGAGCTATCGTTTCAAGATATTTATATGACAACAGCACATAAACCGAACTGAAAAGAAAGCGAGCAAAAACAGTTGTGTGTTAACGAACCTTTAGACGGTACACTTCATAGCCTATACAAGGTATGAATTATATGCTGTGTAAAATGAACTTCTATGTTATAATAGATATATTATAGTGGTTTTTATTTCATCTTACCACAACCTCATAACTTATTTTCTAGCTAACCACATATATCTTCAGTAAGTGCAGGAAGAGCCGGGTTATCTCTCAGAAATGCAGTGACTCAGTGAAGCTGCTGATAGGTACTAATTACAATGAACAGATGAGACAAAATGATTTAGATAATTAACATGTGATGCAAATGAGGATGCCATTAATTAAAATGCATGTCCATTAGTGTAATGACTGAAGGCGATCTTAATCACACTGGTTTAGAACATTTATAAACCTCCAGAGATGCTCTAACAAGGGGTCAAACCAATTCATCAAACTATGTAAAAAGGAAAACAAACTAGGTGGAACGCAATATTAAGATGAAGCGTACCGATACTTATATCAAGCTGTAGCACGCTTATTGTGCGCTAATAAAAACAACAATTTCCCGAGTTTACAACAAATATGCACAGAAGATGTTTTAGGGCCAGAATTGGAGCTGAGGTAAACAAGTTAACGGCAGCTTGCATTGTTTAGTTTTAACAAGCCAAAGAAAATTTCCAGACTTGCCCTTCTCGTGCTTCATTTAATCGCCTACTACTTGTCCTGAAGTGATAAGCATTAAACTTTCTTTTTCCGAACTGCGAAAGTCTGAATGAGTTCTTTGATCAGTCAAATGAACAGGCCAGGCTGGCCGCAGAGGCAGTGCCTGTGGTGTTTTTTGTTTTTTTTTATTTGGCAGCGTTACGCATGCCAGGCGCAGGTTGGCCATCTGAGAGCGACAGATATGAAAAGGCCTCTGTGTGGTCCTAGGTGATAAGGCTGTCCTCATACATGCATTTGTTAGGACACTTAATCGCCAGAGCGAGAAGACTTTGATCTCTATATTCACAACATCATTATCATTTGTGTACTACGCACTTCTATGTCAGCCATTGTTGGCTGTATCCGCGAATGCAGAATGAGCTTATGATCGTGTGAAATCAGTCAAACAGACCCTCGGCTCTATGTTTAGTTTAAAATGTTTATTAGATCCCCGCTCTTTAAAACCAAAATCCGGGGGTTAGTTCTGCATGCTCATAAATTTATACGCACTATTTGCACAAAAATCCTCTTCTTCTCAATGGACATGATGAAAAAGGTCAAATTTAAATGAAAGTTGAAATGGTCATTGAGCCTTCAGTCATTCTTTCCTCTTCTCCACTTCAGTTTTCACCTTACTTTGCTCCATTATGCTGAAAGGTTCACACTGTGATAGATATTATGCAAAGAAAGCTAATTTGGAATATTCTTAATAGCCAATCATCCGGCCAATTTGTTGCATTGTGAATTCACAGCAGGGTATGGCTTGCTGGGGCATTTCTCTGTTGACATGCTACTTTTAATTTGACGGGTTCTGATTTGATTTGACCTCCTCTGTGTTAATAGGCTCTGTCACTCAGGAACTGGAAAGTTTTGCTTATTTTTATTGTAGCTTACTTTCCTCAAACGCAGACAGATTCCGATGTGGAGCATATCGTCGCTACTTGTAGTTACTATCATCAGTCATCCTGGCATGAGCACATTTCTATTTCCTGTCTCCCCTCCCTTTGATAAGCCATCATCCACTGGAAAAAAAATAAAAAGGTTTAAATGTCAAATGAAAGAGAAAATGGCCTGAATTATTCTAGAAAAAGACCATTATGGCTAACATTTTAAGATCCATTATCACCATCTTACATGCACAAGGTGGAGGTATCTAGTTTGGAGGCCACCATGTTTAAATAATATTCCAGGGGCAGTGCAATTTACTCTGGAATAGAAGAGTCTTTACCAAGTTCTCCTTTTAATTTGATGAACTGTTGAATTAATAAAAACATGCATCATCCTTGAAAAAAAAGAAACGGAAAAATTGGAAACTACCCATCCTTGGACAGCCGACATTTTTGTGAAAATATTTAACCACTTAAGGTTCAGTTAGTACCATACAAGTGCTCCTTTTAAAATTTTGATTAATGTACAAGAGACTTGAAAAAAGGAAGTTAAAGCAGAGGAAGCACAAAACTGCAGTTCCTGTTGTGGCCACTTGAAGCAGGCTCCCAATGCATGTCAACGCCCATAGACTCCCATGTTACAATGCACAAATTTAGTGCCTTACA